TTTTTTTTTTAATTCTCATTCCAATAAATGAGTACTAAAACCACACAGAAAAAACATCGATCAATTTACCTCTTTCATCTCTTATGGAGATGAATATTGTTTACGTGTATGATCAAAAACTCCAGTCCATAAAACATACTCAGTAATTAATGCCAAAGAATTCACCCAATGTCCATGACCCTATAATTTTTTTTAAAAAAAATACAAAACATTTACAAATTAATACATGTATGATTGAAAACAAATTAGTTAGCTTGTGTCATTGTGTGGTTATTACTTATTAATTATTATAATACCTTCAACTCATGAATCAGTTTTCCTTGAGTGGTTTCCCATACTTTGATTGTATAATCTTGAGATATCTATCATGTAAAATGTTGTTCACTTTTGTAATTTCCATTTATTGGTATAATTTTAATTTTGAACAAGATATGATATATAAATAAATACCCTGTGTATATGACTCCATCTCCACCGGACTTTACACAAGTGACTACAAGAGTATGACCACTTAGAATAATAACAATTTTCCTCAATGTAGCATCCCAAATTCTTGCATCACCATTTTTGGTGGAGGTGACAAAGCGATGAGATGGCGATCTGAGGTATACTGGTTCTAGGATATACCAGTTATCCATTTCTCGTGGCCCTACAATTTTATGTATTGTTGTGAGATGAGAGCATATAAAGTAATCAAATAACAAGATTGACAGATGGATAAAGAGAGCATATAATTATAGTAAGCAGATTGCCAGAAGCTTTTCCTGTACGTGGGTCCCAGATTTGGATTTCTCCATACTTGCTTCCACATACTAGATGTTTGCCATCTAGTGACCATGCAACATAGAGAACCCGATTCTTGTGCCCTAAATAGATATGGAAAAATATAACAATTTTTTTGCTTTTGTGATTATGAAGTTATGATAACCACCATCATATTCACTACATGGAACTTGAGTTTGTAAATGTTCTTTTTGTCTCTTTAAAGAAAGTAAACTTGTTATGCTTGTTTCTAACCTGTACAGGTGAAAATAGGCATTTGGGTATTCAAGTCCCAGAGTCAGACAGTTGTGTCACCTGAACCACTAGCTAACTATTGTCCATCAGGGCTAAAGACAACTAAAAATACAGCCTCTTTATGACCTACAAACACAAAATTTGATGAAATGAAATAATAACAACATATTGGGGTGTATTTGATGGGGATAAAAGGAACGCATTGAGGTGGAATTCATCTTCAAAAGATAGCCCGCCAATTGAAATTTATTAGCAAAGTGTTAAAAAGGTACCCACAATTGTAGAAGAGAAACGGTTAACTAGACGAATGTGGACGACTGCTTGTGGTTGATACACTACTGTGATTACCTTCTCCATAGAAACTGAAGGAAGTAGAAATAACATTTCATGATTCAACAACAGTTCATATAACATTCAAGACGATATTATACTTGAGTTTCTAGGGCTTGTTTTTACCTTTCTTCTTCTGCAAATAATCTCCTAGTTGTGTAAGAAGCTCTTGATCGGATATACAAAAGGTGTATGACAACTTTTCCTCCTGAAACAACCAGAAAAGGATTCATAGCCTTGGGGAGATACTAATTCCAAAGCTACACATTTAAACTGAACATAGTAGAAGAAATACAATAAATCGTAAATAAGAAGGTTTTACATTGTTGAGCAACTTGTTAACCATCTGTTGAAGCTCCTTAGGGCCAACGCTTTGGGGAAGATACACGGAAGCACCGAGCGGCGTTCCCTCCGGGTCAGCTAATCTACTAAATAATGAAGATAGAAATCTTATTAACTTGTATGTTTCCACATTAAATAACATCTTCATCAACTCCTCTAAAGCATGAGCAAGTTGGCTTTTAGTATCTTTAATTTTGTTCTTCTAATGTGAATCTTTATTCACCCCATAATCCTGCAAGATCAAGCATTCGAGAACTATGGGAATCTTTTAAATCAAAAAACTACAAAGAAAGTAAACAGGGAGAAGATTGAAAATACAATTTCCAAGGGGTAGAATTGTCTGGGCTGCTTCTGAAGCTTCTTTTGTTCCCACGCCTCCCATGAATTCCCAGTCTTTTCAAGAAACAATCGTTTAAATTCTTGAATTGCATCAGACTTACTAAATTCTTCCAAATTAATTCCTATGGTCGTCCAGACATGAAGTGTAGAAGCGATTCTATTGAAACTTCCAAAATTATGTGAATCGGGTTACATAGGAAGTTGAATTACTGGATTGATGAGGAATTAAATGGTGATTGGTGAGTGGTTGTAGATGGTGGTGGCAGATATGTGATAAGTTTGTAAGGATGAGGCATCGAGATCGAGAATCGAGTTCGGTTTCCTTGAGGATGGGATGAGAGAGATGCAAACGGTGATGGTGGATGAAGTGTTGGTCAATAAGGTCGGTACATCATCGTCGTGCGAGGCCTGAAGAGTCGGTGTGGGTTGGAGGTAGTGGAGGTGGGTATCAGGTGGGGTTTTAGGGTTTCTTTTGATTGAAGAGGATTTTAGGAACTTCAAAAATATGAAATTATTAATCTTGTACACATCAAATACCAATTCGGAAAATCGCATATTAGGAAATCAAAATATGATTTCAGGAACTTCACAACTAAAAATCGCATATCAAGAAGCCACACAATGCTTTTAGGGTTTCTTTTGATCGAAGAGGATTTTACAACATACGAAGGAGAAGGAGGAGAGTATCAGGCGGGGTTTTTAATTATTTGGGAGTTCATTCCCCCTTTGGCAATTAAAAAATTGGATAACGCGCGTTCATGAAAAAAATTATAAAACGACAGTTTTAGACGACTCGCTTTTTTATGAAAGGTGCCCTCCGTGTTTTTAAAATTTTTTGTTAGACACTAATTTTAGGGCACGCATAAATGCATGTCCTCTATCCTTAAAATTTTGAAAAACTAACATTAATTTTTAGGGCACGCACAAATGTGTGTCCTCTATCAGTTTGTGTCATTGTTTGCGTGTCATTAAAGGGTTGTTTTCTAGTAGTGACTCCTTGGATGATCTGATGAAATTCCTTCACATTGAGGAGGAAACTCGCATAAGGGAAAAGCGTGGTAATGTCGGATTAAGTGTGCACCATGTATCAGCTAAGGGTTCTTGTTATAAGACCAAGTCTGGGGGACAAAACAAAAGGAACTTGGGACCTAAGAAACAAAGTTTCAAGAAACCAAGTCATCAGAATCCTAAGTCAAAGCCAAATAGGGTCGGACTTTTCCACGTCTACGGAGAGATTGGGCACTATATGAGAGAATGCAAAGATCCCAAATCAGGACCGGTTGCATATGCAATCGAGCAAGTGACTGATATGGTGGCTAGTGTGAACCTTGGAGAGATTTTCATGATCTCTTCGTTTACCCGATCAATATGTGCTCGAGGATGGTTCATAGACACTGGAGCCATTGTGTATGTTTATGGGTAACGAGAGAGCTTCCGCGCTTACCGTCAATACCGCCAGGAACGGTAGTTGTCTATACTGATGGTCATAGAGCTGAAGTTCAAGGAAGAGGTGACGTCCGTCTGAAGTTCACACGTCGTAAATGGGTTACCCTTCAAGATGTTCTTCATGTTCCTACAATCTCAAAGGGGTTGGTTTCTGCAGACAAATTTGACAAAGGTGGGTTCAAGATGGTGCTTGACAACAGTAAAATTGTGATCAATAAGGGCAGATGATATATTAGGAGGGCGAACAATTGTTCATGAATGTATCGTTTGTGTCTTAGTGATAAGGGTAGTGATAGTGGGCCAAGTGTTGAGAGTAATGGTGCCAGTACAAGTGTTGCAAGTGTGTCTATTGTTACTAATAATGATGTAGTTGATGGATTGGTTGCTAATGTGAATGAAGTGAACTTTTCTTGTTATTTTGTTTGTTTAATTTCTTTATGGCATAAAACGTTTAGCACACACTAATATTTAAAAAACTAAAAAAAAATACAAACTAAAGGAATGTTAAAATATGTCTCAAAAGACTTTGAAAAATATGAAACTTGTGTGAAATCAAAGTTTAGAAAGAAACCATTTCCATCAGTTAAGAGAAATACATCATTACTTGAGTTGATTCATTCTGATACACGTGAATTAAATGGAATACGAACTCGAGGAGGAAAAGGGTATTTCATCACATTCTGTGATGACTCCAGTCGATATCTACATGTTTACTTTTTGAGAACAAAAGATAAATCTTTTATGCATTTAAACTGTAAAAGGCTGAAGTCGAAAATCAACTTGAAAGGCACATCAAAAATCTTCGCTCGGAAAGAGGCGGAGAATACTTCAACCATGAGTTTGACACATTCTGTAAAGAGAATGGAATAAAACATGAGAATAAATACACCATATACTCCCCAACATAATCGTTTGGTTGAAATAAAGAACTTAACCCTTTGTGATATGGTCAACTATATGTTGAACCAATCCGGTCAACCAAACAATTTGTGGGGGAAGCACTATTGACTGTTTGTTATGTTCAAAATAGGATCACTAGTCGTATGATTCCTATAAGCTCTTATGAGTTGTAGAAAGGTAGAAAGCCTAACCTAGACTATTTGAAAGTGTGGGGGTGTGTTGCTTATTATCAGATTCCCGATCCTCAACGAACCAAATTGGGAGCACGAGCTAATAAGAGTATATTTATTGGATATGCTCACAATAACAAGGCTTACCGATTATTAGATATTGAATCCGGTATTGTTGTGGAATCTAGAGATGTGTAATTATTTGAGTACAAGTTTTCTATGGATGATGAAAACTCTAGTCATACAACACCCACAAGTACTTCTCAAGAAATACTCCCACTTCCTCTTATTATGGAGGAAACAAGGAGAAGTACTAGGGCTAGAATAGAGAAAAGTTTTGGAGATGATTTCTATTCTTATTTGGTCGAAGCAACACAAAAGAAAGTGAAAAGAGAGGTCATCTTTTCCATTAACTTGTTTGATGATCCTAAGACATTTACTAAAGCCATGACGTCTAAAGATGCTCCTTTATGGAAGGAAGCCATAAATGATGAAATGGATTCAATTATGGGTAATGAAACTTTGGAGTTAGCTGATCTACCCAAGGGGAGGAGACCCATAGGATCTAAATGGGTATTCAAGAGAAAATATCATCCATATGGATCCATATCTGCCTATAAAGCAAGATTAGTTGCTAAAGGCTACAAGCAGTAAGAAGGGATTTATTATTTTAATACATATGCCCCAGTTGCTAGGATCGGTTCTATTAGAACTATCATAGCAATATCAGCATTGAAAGGATTATACATTCACCAAATAGATGTGAAGACATCCTTTCTAAATGGTTATATCAAGGAGGAGATTTACATGGAGCAACCTGAAGGTTTCGTGATACGTGGAAAGGAAAATAAAATGTGTAGACTTATTAAATCCTTGTAAGAGTTAAAGCAAGCTCCCAAACAGTGGCATGAGATATTTGACACCACTATGACTGCTTTCCGATTTAAGCACAATAATGCCGACAGGTGTATTTATTACATGGTTGTAATGTGTCTTTATATTGATGATATGTTGATCATTGGCACTCACCTAGAAGGTATTATTGAGACGAAGAAATATCTGTCCTCAAACTTTAAGATGAACGATCTTAGTGAAGTTGATACAATTCTTGATATCAAGGTGAAAATGACAGGTGGTCAGAAATCTTTGAGACAATCTCATTACATAGAGAAAGTTCTGACAAAGTTTCAACATTTGAATATTAAGGAATTCAACACTCCTTTTGATTCAAGTGTGAAACTTAATCTGAATTCTGGTTGGACAGTGGCTCAATAGGAATATGGAAGTGCAATTGGAAGTATGATCTATGCAACACACTACCCTCGACTTGACATTGCATTCGTTGTAAGCAAATTGAGTCAATATACTATCAATCCAGGGATGGATCACTGGAAGGCAGTGGGTAGAGTACTGGGATACCTAAAAAGGACAAGTACTTTTGATTTGACGTATTCGTCATCAAATAGAATACTAGAAGGGTGTTATGATGCTAGCTGGATAGATCACACCAATGACTCAAAATCCATAAGTGGTTGGATTTATACTCTAGCTAGTGGTGCTATTTCTTGGGCGAGCAAGAAATAGACATCCTTAGCTCATTCAACGATAAAAGAGAAGCTAATTGCCTTGGCATTAGCAGGCAAAGAGGCAGAGTGTATTCGAGATTTACTTCTGGATATCCGTATGTGAGATATTCCAATGCATTCTATACTTATGTATTGTGATAGTGAGGCCACACTTTCTAAAGTATATAATGTGGTATATAATGGGAAGTCGAGACATGTGGGTCTGAGACACAATTTTGTGAGACAACTAATTGAGAATGGTACCATCAAAGTTGTCTATGTCAAGACAAGTAGGAACCTGGGAGATCCGTTTACCAAACCTCAGAAGTGAAATTTGGTTACATCTACCACAAGAATCATGGGTCTAAAACCACAATAGAATCGCTTAGTGATGGAAGCCCAACTTGGTATTAGTGCTCCTAATTCTCAAGTTTAAAGGGTAACAACGAAGTCACTAACGATAGAAGGTACTGTCATCAATGATATATCCATGTGAGGTAGGATAGTACGTTCTTGCTGAGGATAACTCTTAACAAAGTTTTGGAGACATTTAAGCAACGAAGATGTTATAAAACTTTGCCTATATGATCTAGAGGTGGTTCCACCTCATGTGAAGATTAGTGGTTTATCTTCTAAACGGTCATGAAAAGGATTTATAATGCATGGACGTATTAGCGCTCAGGGAGAACACAAAGATGGCATGTGATGTGTGGGGGTAAATC